ATACATCTCTAAATTAGTTTGTAAATAATGATTAGTAAATTTGGCAGGTCCCATTTCCCTGTGTGGCCTGCTGAATTCAAAAATTGTTTTGAACTGAAATCTTTCCCATCTATTTGACCCCAAGAATGTAATAAATATGTTACTAACCTTGTTATCTTGGAGCAAACTAAAAGCTACTGAACCTTGTTTTTCCCTTTTGCCTTTGAAAAATTTACTTGTGCTGATTTATACCAAATTGCACTCAAAATCATGTGATAATTTACACTTAACAGTTACCCTTTACCATTTTCAAGCAAAGTCTATCATGAATTTCCCTTTGAATTTTCTGGTCCTGCTCTGCTTTATCTTTCATCAGTCTTTCCTGTTCCTTAATCATGTTGTTATGGTTTTGCTGCTGATTTAGGATCTCCTCCTCAAGAATACTCACTTTTCCACATTGTAAGTCTCTTTCCTTCAAATAGCATACACATAAAAGCATTTTAGTGGTACAACATTTAAACAAATTAACAAACTATTTTGTATATCAGGGCTAGAGACTGAAATGAGTGATCCAAAGCCTTGAGAATTTTAGAATTCCAGCCCAACATGCAAAGAGTGCATTTATTTGTTTTTCAAAACACAAATTCTTAGTGACACCATTTCTGCCATTTGGCCATTTAAGGGTAAAAAGTTGTAACATATTAATTGATCTTAAAAACTTTATAACATAGTAGCTTCAAACAAATTATAATATGTTCATGGGCACATTCATTATCATGGTATGAAAATATACAGAAAAAAACTCAACACTGATGGGAGTGGAGCATTGTCTGCAGGGTGAAGAGGTGTTAAATTTAGCTGTTGACACCTCACGATGCCAGCCATTAAAGAAAACTTGAGCAAGCATATGTCTGCATATCCAGGAACATACATCATCACACTTTTGAGTGTAACTTAATTTAAAAAGTTTGGCTCTATGACTAGCAGGTCTTATTAGACTACCCTGACCTAGTCAACAATGCAGTAAAACTAACCAAAAAAAAAAAAACCACCAAATATATTTACCATTCTCAGCTGTATAATTTCCTGTTTGAGTTGATGCTGTTTGTTCTTTGCCTCTTTGGCATTTTTAATTCTTTCTGACAATTGAAGTCTAATGGATGCATGTTCTTGTAAAAGTTTTTTATAATCCTACAAAAATTAAATCATATAATTCTTACACTTAACTTATGTAAAAAATATTACATAATTATACCTATGACTACTATATGTTGAGTACACTTTAAATTTACATTTATAAATGAGATTACACTGTATCTATCTCAAAGATACAGCATACATGTATTAATTAATTCATGTTTAAAAGACTATACATCACAGTATCATGTGGTTCTACTCACATATAATGTCCCACAGAAAGTTTTTTTTATATATATACCATTAGTAACAAAGCTCAGTTACAGCTGCTATTACTGCACATTAACCGTCAATAATCGTTCAATTGCATTGAAGCTGAGACTTGGTTTGAATGACCTTGAAATGATCAATCATAAGTTTTCCATAATGATGTAAGTATAGGTTTTGAATGGGTGAATGTTTTAATGTTGTAAAAGAATTTTCCCAGTTTTGATGGAGAAGTTTTATTCTAAGCAAATCCAATTGAAAATTGACTTTGATTGTGAATGTATTTTCCTTCGCTTTGATCCAGCGCAAATATTGTTGCCTAAGTCAACTAGACTCTCCTGCCAAGTTTTATGGCTGTACCTTCAATTCCACTCAAACTACCTTCCCTCAGCCACCAATCAGATTGTAAGAATAATTATTACTCATTTGACAGCCCTTCACAGCAAAAACTTTTACATATAACTACTAGATGTTAAAAATGTTAATATTAATTACTAAATATCAATTGACAGACACAGACAGAGAGATAGACATACACTAACAAAAGAGAAAGACAGAGAGGATGGGTGCACCTTTTGGAGTTTGTCATTTTCTTCCTGTAAGGTAGCATAACTATTTGCTTTTTGTAAACCAGTTCCTTTCTTTTTAGCCTCATCTTGCAAGGTTTTGTGAGTTGTAGTCAAAACATTCAATTCCCTCTCTAAATCATTCACTCTGGGGTGGTATGAAAGAATAAGACAAAATGTTTGTCAATATCAGAATTACTTCCAGCAAATCCTTCTCATCACGAGCTAACTTGGCAAAAGATGTCCATACTTTTCCAACAAAAATCACAGGAGAGGATTGAAAGTATTTTCCATTTTCAATGTTAGTGACTGTATATTTAATGAAGCAACCAAAACAAGCAACTTTCTCAAGACTTCACTTGCAATTTCTTTTTATTTAAACAGCTTTGCACACTTGAAACATGGACTACATGTATTTTTTGTAAACACTATTTGGTTATGAGTAGTACAAACCTTATCAGAAATGCCTCATGATTTTTTAAGCTCTCTGATTTGAAAAACTCAAGGGTCTTCTTTTCCATGGTTAAACAATCTATCTCTTCCTGCAGTCCCTGGGAAAGTTAACAGAGATAAGGACTCTTGTCTGTTACGACACAATGTAGAGATACTGACCCATTCTCAACCTAAGTCTAGCAGGAGGGGCTACTCCTCTTCTCTGTCTTAATCTGCACATTTGAAAGAATTTATATCTGGTTTCCTCAAGGTACCTAATGTATAAAGGATTGCAGCTTGTGAAAGAATTTTCCAAATAAGCGCAATAATAGGGTTGCAAGACCTACTGATTTTTGGGTTGCACTTATTAACTTTGTTGTTCCAAACACAACCCTAATTAAGGGAGGTGGTTATTCTGGGGCAGCCATTTTTCCAGGAAGTACACCATACCCACCATTCACAACTCACAGAGATTTGCGACTACCTGTGAAACTGATCCACATGATATATAATACCTGGCCTTACTGGTTGGGAAAACCACAAAGGGACTGTAAGAGCAACAGAATAATTGAAATGCATTTGAGAATAAAAAACCACACTAGTTGAATGTTACAGAGTAACATGAAGTCACACCTCCTGTTGAATTGCTATGCTTTTAAGCTGACCACGTAAAAGGCAGATCTCACTTTCTGTTCCTGCCAGTTTTTCTGCTTGGTTCTATTAATGAGAACAAAGTTATTGACTTTACATCAATAAAAATTGACCTACAGTTGTACAAAGTAATGTAGTTAAAATGTTTAAGAAGCTCTGCATTAAAAATTTTTTAACACATCTCAGCCTTGAATAGGGTGTGTGAATCTAAGTTTACATGACTGTGTTAAAATGAAATTACTGGTAAAAGTGATATTCTAAGATTTCTGCGTAATAACGCTATTGTGTTAATAGTAATAAGCTGAAAGCCTTGAAAAAACCTCTTACTTTTTCAAGATAAAACTGCCTGAGACAACAGGCTGAAATGATAGTTACTCGTCAAACATCATTGGGTGATCACTCTTTTTTTTGTTTTTAAATGAGGGGATATTGCAGTGTTTCAGTTTAAATAAGCAAATATCCTGGGCTCTTAGAAAACTGCTCATTACAAGTACATTTAAACTACTAACAAGGGAGACAAAAATGGGCAAGAACCATACTTATGGTTTGGCATGCACATAATACACATTTATTCATTAAAATGGTATACACAGCAACTACCTAGAAAAATCCTCAGCTCCCCAGTAACTTTCCTTTGCAATACATATGTAGTTACCTATAGTTATGATTGAGATGGCATTTACCTGAATTGTAAGGTGAGCTTCCCTGAGCTTTTCCAATAACAAAATTCTCTTTGTCTCACTATCATCCAGTGAACTCTTCAAGCTTTTTTCAAACAAGTTGTTGGAATTCAGGTGATGTCCCCTAGAGTCAAACCGGTGAGTCTTTGTGTTCAAGCTTTTTTCAAACAAGTTGGTGGAATTCAGGTGATGCCCCCTACAGTCAAAGTGGTCAGTATTTGAGTTAATTTTTGAGTCACAAAAGTTTTCCAAACAGAAAGTAGCTGGACCTTGAGCTCCACTAATTTTATCACTAGAGGATAAAACACTTTGTGTTAGATCTTCATTGCCTTGACCATCAGCCTTTGATGAGTACCCACTATCTGTTAAGAACACCTGACAAGTTCTATTTTGGTTACTCCAGAGATTTGTAGTCAGAGTGCTGGTTTTAGACAGAGTATCTGAAGGAAAATTGAGAGCCTTCTGCAAATTCCTGATTTCGATACCCATGTTACTATATGAAGGACAAAATGGGTCCTGCAAAAGTAAATCAGAGAAAAGATCAGTACCCACTTCATTGTTGCAATGCAAAACGGCTAATTTTTTTTATCTGCGAGATAAGAAGACTATAATGTTATCTACGTCAGCAGAGTTTTGTAGGTCTAATTTTGTGAATAAAATTTAAAAAGCTTCAGCACCTGAACAAATTCAAATTTACTTTCCTCGGCTAGGGCTGCAAAAAGAAAGATACTCACCACAAACTTTGAATTAGTGAAGCTGTGAGAATTGTTTCCGCTATTGTTTACAGACTGCGGTGGCCTTGCCTTGGAAGTCAACAAATGATGCACTCGAGAATATGAGAACTCATTGTCTTCTATGTTATCTGTACTTGATGTTGGTAGTTGGGCAATGTTCATTATTCATTCCTATTATAACCAATTGGTCTTGGGTTAGTCTGAATTTATACGGCGTATTTGCCAATGCTGCAGCCTACTGGGAAACTGACGAGTTTGCCAAGACAAATCAACTTTACGTAGTCATGCTTTAAAGTCCCCTGCTTATGGTTTTTGCCTTTTTGAACCGTTCTGATACACCAAAGTGAGGAAAAAGGCTTGCACAAGTCGCCAAGAAAGAAATCGTGTCCAAAGCTATGCAATTTTAGGCCTCAAGACAGACGTAAACAACAGAAGAAGGCAAGAAGGCAATCACCTCATGACAGTCGACCGCAGACCAGACCCCAGGGAACAGAGCGAGAATCCTCTCCCACCCTCCCTACCCTTAGTAGTAATATTTGTTATGCGCGCGAATTGATCTATGCTGAAAATATTGCGTTTTATAATTTTTCAACAACAAACGACTTAAAATGGCAATAGTTTGTCGTTGTGTTATGAAATAGCAACCTTTTCTGTCCGTGGAGGGATTAATTTTTATAGTTCTGAGAGTGAACTTATGCTCGTCGTCCAAAGAAAACTACCTTTGATCGCACTTCCGAATTGGGAATCACCGGGAGACCGAGTTCATCTTTTGGCAAACATATTTTACGCTTAGTCAGCTATGAATCTTTCGTTCGCTTAATTTAGTAGGGTCACTATGCCTACTTCTGTAAGGATCGGAGAAGAGCAGCTCAACTATTTGGCTTCACTGGCTCGACTTGACTACTCAATAAGCGGTCGTGTGTACATGAAAAACCACGAAAACGCTGGCAAATGGCTTCAGCGGTGGTTTGCTTTGTACCAAAATTTGTTGTTTTATTTCGAGAGCGAGGATTCTACAAAACTTTGTGGAGTTATATACTTGGAGCATTGCAGTTGTGAGAGATTGTGCTTGACCAACTTAAAGGACACCGAAAATCAGGTATGACTGTCGAATGTTTTTAAATCTTTGTGTTCTGCTTGACCTCCTTCTTGTTGTATTGTGTAAATGTTCCTCCCCTTTGGGGTACGTGGTCAAAGTGTTTTTTTTCTCCCCATCGGTTCGTGCCTCGCGTGTGGTTATGATTTGGATCCATTTCTCAAACTTCGGGCTTCAGAATAGAAAGCATGAAAAGTTGTGTCTGATACCGTATTGGTGTCTTTAAAAAAAGAGAGCCTTTCATCCAAGTGGTTTAATTTCCACCTTGCCATAAAGTGAGCTCCGGATCAGCTTAGACTTAAGCCTTTTCACGATCCAAGGAAAGGCAATCGTCGACGATTTTCGTTTGCTGTCAAAATATTTTCCCCTCATACCCGCTTTTGATATTGCAGGAAACACAAAAGTCAAGTATTGTGTGGGCGATGCATGAGATATGATGCGCACTTTTAGCTTCTCGCTAAATTTGTCAACAAAATACAGAGAAGCACCCAAAATCAATTTAAAAACATCCCTTCCATGAATATATTTATCTTTTTCCGTGCCTATTTTTGTGGTCCTTAATTTTCATTGAGTACTTAGGGTGCTTTCTATTTTTTCGCTTAGAGTAGTTTTGTTTTTTTCTTCGTTCAACCGTTTTCTCAAAAATTCGGTTTGACAATTTTCTGTTGACATTTGCAAATGGCATGAAAACAAGAACAGAGATAATTGCAATCGATTATTTATTATTCATACATAAAATGAACAAATATGCTTTTTATTTTGCCCAGGAAGCATTTGAGGTTGAATACATTTTGTTGTGGCTTTATTGCGGTCCAGAAATTTGAATAAGAATCTTATACTTGGAAAAGTTGTGCTATTTTGTAGTTTACTATGAAAGTTTTATCTAGAAGAAGAACAATCAGTAAGTTCATTGACGCAACTAACATTTTTAGCTCTACAAAGTACATATTTAGTTTTAATTTTACAACCTATTTTTACTGTGAATATTAATCTCTAATAATATGAATCTAGACATCGATAACCGAGAGGCCTGGGATGGGTACACATAGGGTGGAAATTAGTATTTTCCCTTTTCTTTAAGATTGAGCAATTTGTTCAGCATATAAGTCATAAGACCTGGGTAGAGCCAATCGCCATTCACCACGTCAATGTGTTTTAATTGCAAAATTACTTTAGTATTACCGCTTAGGTATCTGTGCACGTGTTTTTAGTAATCGAGCAAGCAAGAAAACAAGTTTTTTACTAGCTTTAAAAAAGTTTGAGTTTCCCTCCCACCCACACCATCAACAGTTTTGATTGTATCTTAATCTCATTCGTGTTTGTAATTTATTCTTAATTACTGGATTGTTGGTTTAGTGTATTCGTCTAATATCTTTGTTATGTAATAGTCTAGTGTGTTATTCATTTGACTGTACCTGCAAATCACTTGCATTGCCCGGGTGCTTTTGAACCACTGATAATGGCCACCCCTTTAAAAATGGCCATACATGTACATTCAAGAATCTGTATTGACCTCATCAAATGGATACATCTCCAAATCAGTAACAACGACTAAATTATGTCATATCTGCTAAATGAAATTGGCCTACAGAAAATGGCCAGGTATTGACCAAGTTGTGAACGGGACATAAAATTATCTATGCCTTGCACATGTTTGCATCTAGTGTTGACCTGATTCAGTTATATTTCTAAATGAAGGCCACCAGCCTACAACGACATAAGTGCAGACTTGGGTTGACTTTTTTTTCGACAGCCACTCCTCTCTATCTACAACAACTACTGAAGCATGTTGAATCTGTAAATTGAAAAGTACCCCAGGGAAAATGGGTAGTTAATCATAGCACAACGATCAGGGCACAAACCATGTAAAGCTCATTCAAACAAACAATGCTTGACCGCTATTTTATGACTTTCTGTTATTTAAACAAGTGCAAATGTAGTACAATGCGATATAATTACTGTACATTGTTTAATTGTACTCTTCTGTACAATAATTTTTTATTGTATTTCTTTAATTATAACTTGTTATATATGCTAAATTAAGGATTTTTGCTAAATAAACTTTTTATCCTTTGGAAAATGAAAACAGGTGGCATTTTAAATATGTCCTTCCTTCCCACTGTGGCCACCTGTCAACAGGAAACACTCTCTGGTGTCCCTTTTGGTGGCACTGTGGAGAGTTTCAAGTCTTTTACTTAATTAAGTTTTTTTTTTTTCTGGGGTAAGTTTTACAAACAAACTTACTTTGGGAGAGTAGTTTCATTCATTTCTGTGCAAAGAGAATCCAGGAAAAGGGTTATGCAGAAGAACCAAAGGTACCATGGAGAGACATGAGGGCAAAATTCACTAATAGCTGGTCATAAATGGTTAGGTTAGTTTAACTTATCTGTTCTCTTTGAATTTAGAACTGCTTTTGTATCAGCATACCAACTGTTGATGGGCAGCAGCAGTTTGTTCTCAGAGTCAATAGTGGCCAGGAATGCACCGCATGGATTGAAGCGGTCACAAAATCTAGGTAAGTTGAGCAACTACAAGTAGTAACTTCTTTCCACATGCAATTCTCTGTAATGTTTTCACAGGGCTAGATATCCCAGATCACATCATATCTTACACCCCCTTTAAATCATTACTATCAACAATTCCTTTCTGCATGTAGTTTTGCTGAAGTTCAATCAGAGAAACAAGAATTGGAGAAGAAGTACATTCATGTGATGCAGATTCTGGATAGTGAAAAAACAGCCAAGTGGCAGTTGCTTCAGCAGTGTGAGGAGCAGGGTCAGTTAGTGTCAAACCTGAAAACTGAGGTATGTCATCTTTTCCTTTCTTTGCATCGTGTGATTTGTTTATTTGTATTGACACACCTGGGTTGGTGGCCTAAGTGTACTGCAGAGATAACCCCAGTCAAACATTTTATTTGTAAAGCAAAAGCTTTAAATGGAGAGTACCACCTGATAAAAATGTTTGGCCACTATGTCTCTTGCAAATTTTTTTCAATAGCACAGCATTAAACTGTGTTTAACACAACATTTCCATCTTGTGTAAGAAGAGTCTACATGTGAATGGCATCAGTGTGGTTAATTCTCTGAAGAAATGTACAGTTTTTATAACCTGGCAAAATATAACGTAAACCTTTTTTGGGGTTAAAAAATTCAAAATTTTTGCATTCATCTAACACATTTATAAAAGACACTAAATATTTGAGGTTTGATTTATGCAGAGTATTGAGAAACTTCCACTTGGAATACTGGAAATAATGTGTCTTCCCTAATAGGACTGTGTCCTTTCAAATCTTCATTTTGTGTGAACATTTCACTGATTTAACAAGATGCTAACCTTGCAAGTCAGTGACCTCCTGTTACAAATTGAAAACTGAGCAATTTTACATATTTCACCAGACCTCCCACAGAAGGCATTGAGAAAAGGTGGGAAAAATTGAAATGAACAGTCTTTGTGCTCCCTGTGAATTGTCAAATAGAGTTAGTCTCAGTAGTGAAAGTTCATAGTGTTCCAAAAACAACGATGTGCCAGAAATGCTGCAACTGAAATCATGCTTGTCAGCAAAGATGTTGTTTTAAAATTATAGTTGGGAAGTGAATCAGAATTGGAAAACCAAAGATTATGGTCAACAAAATATGGTGCTTTTAAAAATCCTTCTACCAAGCTACTTAAAAAGAAATCATGGGAAACTATATATCACTGAAAAGTACAGATTCTGAAAATAACAAAAATTTTAAGAGATTCTGTCCTGGTAGGTATGTATAATCCTCTTATTACTCCTATAACTCAACGCTTGGCAAAATTTTTACAGAAATTCCTTCCAAACTCCTGGGCAAAGGGCTGCAAAAAATGCCAGTACACCTGACTGCTAGCGGCCTTTTTGATTATGGCAATGATTATGACACCTTTTGCTACTTGTTACCATTTCCCCTAAATAACCCTTTCAGTGGTATCTCACCCTCTTTTTAATATTTTGTAATTAAAAAAAAAAATCTGCAAAGGACTAAACTTACATGAGGACTATGTGCTTTCTCTGACTGAGGGGCAAAAAAATGAAATTTTATCAATTGTGACCAGATTTTGTTCACAGTAGCCTTAAGGTGATTCCTGAGAGAAAAAAATTTCAAACAATTTATTTTAAACATTCTCTAAATGTTCCCTGCTCATGTCAGTTCCAAAAATTACAATAAAAAGGTAGGTCACCATGCTTGTTTAGGAGATATGACAAGCCAATTTTACCTCATTTATGCCTGTACTGAGCATTATTTCACTGGTTCACAGTACATTTTGTGGCAGCTAAAAGGAGGGATTTTTAAAGTAACAATTAAAAAAAACTAGATTGGTAGAAAGTCTTGAGAGTGTAAAACAATTTGATACATAACTCGAAGAAAACTCATACAGTTTTATATGACACCAACTCTAAATGTTCCTCTAGTTTTTTATTTCAAGGTTATGATTTTCATCATCAAGTGACAGGCTTTGTGATTTCTTAAAGCTTTATCTTTTCTCCCCTCATTAGCTTTTTTTGTACACCAAAATTATGCAATAAAAAAATGTAAGTCACTGTGCTGGTTTAAGAGCTAACGGCCATCAAACCTCTTTGCCTGCTCCATTGATTGAAAAACAATATCTTGTTCTCAGAATGACACTTGCTTATTCACCTGATTACATGATTTTCATGTGCAGTACAGGATGCACAGTGCAATTCTGAGGAATCACCTTTATTGTAGTTACCAGATATTTGAATATTCAGTGGACAGGTTGACTTGCCAATCAAAAGACAACAAGAACATGAGAGTACAAATTAATATAATTATTATCTATGTTGTTTTATTTTGCATTAAACATTAAAAGAAATTCTATTGAATAGAGGAGAGATTTAACAGAAAAAATCAAGATGAGACATCGATGTTGGGACATCATGTTTAATCATAATGTGAAATTGATTAGACACTTGCCAGATGAGTTTGTGCAGTGTTCCATGACCAAATGTTACTTGACCTCAAACAGTTGAAAATTGTGGGAGAGTTTTGGATAAGTGCAAGAGTTGGGACTAGGCTAGGACCTTTGCAGGCTTGCTTTCACAACCATTTGTTTGTAGGCTTGCTTCCACAACCATTTCTTTTCATGTCACTTATAGATACCTTAAGCATACTTTTTCTAATGGATATCAGCCTAAGATGAGTTACATATTTGCAAGTCTTCAGTATAATATTACTTTAATTATTAAATCTCAAAAGAATCTTTAAGATATTGTTGATAAAATCCAAGAAAGAACCATTCATGGAACTGACATCTCATCATGAAATGACATTTTACAGGTTGCTAGCCTTAGAAAGCAAAGGACAACTGAGGCAAGAGAGGAAGAGAGTGAAGAAATAAAGAATATAAAAAAGGTAGTTAGTGTTCTTACATGCACACCAAAAAAGTTAATGATTATACTTATATCCACTGAAACTGGCTGAAGCTTGTTAGGCTCACAACCATTTTGAAAACTTTCGAGAAATAATGAGGTGAGCGGCAAAATGGGTGACAAGTTACTCCTTGATTTTGCTGGGAAATTTTAGTGGTAATTGTTAGATAGTGATAATTATTGATTTTTAATAATGCATTTAATTTGCTATGAGTAGCTTCTATATATATCAGCATAATCCTTGTGAAAGAGTTGCTTACTTGGTTGTTTATGCTCTTATACAAAAAAAAGTAGAGGTAAACCTCAAAAACCTTCTAAGAAATGAACTGCAGTACTAAAACTTGAAACACCTGATACTTAACATTCATCACATAAAAGCAAAGTTTTAAATAAGTGCAATTCATTCGTTATCAATTTAATGTTGATGTTGAGATTTAGTTGAAACACAAATACTTTTCAAAAGCTTTTTCTATCTATGGTTGATAAATTGAACTGTATATTTGACTGAAAAATTCTGTTGATTCATCTGCTAGCGACTATATGCATGGATAACAAGTGTTTGATGAAAAAGCATAGCACCAAGAATTATTGTATTCTACAAGTAATTTTGTAAGGGTGTTGATTTGTGCTTTACAATTTTTTCTGTGATTAAAAGTATTATATAATGTGCAATGATTAAACTCACTTATTAACAGGTACAGAGCCTCATTAGAGGCTGGCTTTGTCGTCGCCGTTGGCACAATATTGTTCAAAATTACATCCGTTCACCTCATGCAGAAAGCATGCGTCAGAGGAACTCAATTTGCTTTCAGCTTGTGGAGACTGAGAGTGAATATATGCACAACATGTCCACACTTGTGTCATGTTTCTTCAGACCTTTTAAAATGGCTGCAAGCTCAAAGAGGCCCCCATTAAGCCATGAGGAAGTCAATTGTATCTTTCTAAATAGGTATTGTGCTAAATTTAAAATCAGTGAGATTTGAAAAGTAACCATGAGTCTAACTAGTGGTAAATCCTAAATTCAGAAGAAGAGTTAGAAAGAATTAAATACCCTATTGCTTACATTTTAACCAAATACTAATGTTAACTCGATGCATGTAAAGCATACATTACTATTGTCTTCATGAATTAAAAAAAAATTATATTTTAAAGTAATTCACTGAAAACTGGACTTTTGTTTAAAGTTTTGAATCATTTTAAAATTGATTAACATATTTAAATAGCCTTCTGCTAATTTTGGAGAGTGACTGGTTAAAATTGAATAAAATGAACATAAGAAGGAATTGATAAATTGAAAATAAACTCTGAGGTAAAACATACAGTCTTGAGAAAACATTTCTGTGGTTAAGAAACCAATCTAAGTCTGTAATTATGTAGCAAGATAGTTTGTTTCAAAATATTGTACGTTCTTGAGGATTAGTTATAAGAAAATATAACTCACATGCTTGAGAAATAACTCCTAAGGTTTTACAGAACTTTGCTGTTACAGCACATAATAGGGGCTAATTTCCATCTTTACTGAATGCACCTGAGAAAGGGTGTAAGTAAAGGCCAGAGAGAGCGTGATGTCAATGCTTATCTTTTTCTCTATATTTTGATTGCAGTGAGACAATTCTTTTCTTGCATCAAATCTTTCTAAAAGGTCTTCAAACGCGGATGGAAAGTTGGCCAACACTGATCTTAGGTGTGTGTAGAGCTCGTTACTGCTTGTGTTTGAAGAAACTTTTGCTTTAATTAGTTTGTTCTTGTTCCGTTGAGCTGCAGTATGTTGTTATTATGAGTACATAGATATCTGCAGTGTGTTGTCATTGTCAGGATATGGACAGCACAACAAATACAAATCGATTTAGCTGAAGAAACCTCAACCATACTGGATGTGATATATCAGAGTTATATGTTGATTAAACATCCACCAAACTTTCCGACAATTTACCTCATGTGCTCAACAATCATCATTTCATCGGGGATCAACTTGTAACATCAGGCCTTGTCCTCTTTTAAAAGATGGTTTAACTAACAAATTGGCCGAGCACTTTGAGCCCACCGCTAGAAACGTTTCATTCATTTTGGTTAGCTAGCGTTGGCTAGATAGTCGAGTTTTATTGACTGATGCTCGAAATAGTCCCATTTGGCCTGTCCGGACAGATACAATCCGACAGTTATAACTAGAAACATTTTTTAAGAGCTGTCAAGAACCACACGTACTCGAGCATTTTTTAATTGATACAATAAAAGGTGATTTAGGCTGTTAATCAGAATTTTGGCAACAAAAGAAAAGTCTCCAATGCCACGATCTGATTGGTGTAGACAATAACTCACTATCTGATTGGAGCGATTAACAAGCCTCAGTGAATGAGCAACAGACCCCTATCCCGTATTCTGATTAGTTGTGAATGACGACTGCTAATGCCCCAACAATCTGATTGATGCGAACAACAAAGCTAACATCATTTGGCTGAGTAGAAAATTTATCAAAGTTTTTGGGGCAGATTTTACAGCAGTAAGTTGGAGCCACTACAGCTGCACTAATATTACCCAATCAAACATATCTTCGGAAACTGTTGCCGTTTATACTGTGAATGTGAGCGCTAGATATTCGATATTTATTGCAAAACACATGTAAAAGACGGCGGTGCATATTTGTTAACAATGCGGAAGGTTGTGTATACAGGGTGATCTCTGACGTATCTATCATTTTTGTTCACATACAGGTGACTTATTTGATATGCTACTACCCATGTTAAACATTTACCAAGAGTACGTTCGCAATCATCATTATTCTCTACAAGTAAGTCCTCAGCGGACGGTCTCTCAGTTAGTTTAACTAATACTTGATTTGGTCACCCGTTTTTTACTCAATGCTGACATCTATCAACTCGCCTATGGCCATTTTCTTTTCTAAATTTTGTTTTAGTTTATTTTTCCAATTTCTTTCCAGCTGGCTATTATTAATCGAAGAGCACCAAGATCAGTATCACTCTCCTTTCGTTCCGCAGCAATCGTCGCTTAAAGATTTCTTGGATTAGATTTTTTACTCTTATATGTGTAAGCCATTGGCAGAGAGATGTCGGCTGCCAAACAGGAATAGGACCGTCCCACACCAGCTGTTTTTGTTTTTGTTTTTGTTTTTGTTTTTGTTTTTGTTTTTGTTTTCTTTTGTTCTTTACGGCTGCCTATTGAAAGTATATTGTTTCTTTTTTCTTAGACTTTGGCTGAGTGTAAACAGCGGCCAGCATTCAGTCGTCTTCTTAAGCTGTATGAAGAAAAAGCAATTTGTGGCGGAAGGACGCTGGAATATTTCCTAACTGCTCCAATGTATAGGGTGAGTAACGGATACGTTACAAAGGTTGGATTGAATAGGACCAAATCTTGCGATGGGGATTAGGTATTACCATAGCTAAATATCTTAACCAGTCATGGCACTTAAGCACTGATTGTGAAAATTTTTAAGTTACACTATGTAAAACTGAACTTCGCAATTACACGGTGAAAAAGAAAATGGCAATCTGGGTGTCGGAGCTTTCTTCTTTTAATTTCTAGCATTTTTTCTCATTTGTAGTCGGGTGAACAGATTTTGGCTTTTACACAAATACCACCAGTTCTTGTGGCTCGAACCCAAAGATTCCGATTTAAGAGATTAAGGCCATATTCACATGTTATTGGACAAAGTTTTGACCGGTTAAACGTAGTAACGAATCACCCTGAAGGCGTCACTTTGGATTTGATAGCGGGGGGCTGTGCGCATAGGCATTTGGGAAAACCACAGACAAACGTTAAGAAGCCATTTGCTGGTCAGTTGCACCTTTTTACGGGTGATATTGTTGACCAGTGAACATGATCAAAAAAAAATTGTAGGAAAGTATGGAAAAAGAATAATTGAGAGCGCGATTATCGTTGTAAATTGATTGATGATATACATGAGAATATTACAAGTATGAAGTTGTAACACGAGTGTGCATTTAAAGCCAAAATTTCGTCGGTCTTGACTTAATGTGATGCGTTTTTCATGTAAGTAACAACATGATTTCTCGTGCAATTTGGTGTAAATAAGCCACGTTTCTATTTTCTTGCGGGATATCTAGTAATGCCTATTCTTTAAGGGAATGGCTAAGTATCACTAAGTAACCTGGTAACTGCAGTAGACAGTTAATGTCGTTTGTAATCTTGTATACTTACTGTGCCTTTTCTGAGTAAATAATCATGTTGATGCAACGCAGATTTGATTTCCTGAGGAATGTCTCATATCAAAGAGAAATAAAAATTAAGGAGAACAAACTCCGAGCCATTTCTAAATGAAATGACGGGAGGTGTTTACTTCGAGAAAACACTAAAATTTTTGTGTCAAATTTAATTTGATCTTTATCTTAAGCCCCAAGAGTGACTAGCATCAAATTTCTCCCTACAATGGTCATGGTCATGAGAATAAAGGAAATGATCAACAATGAAAGTAGCTTTTTGATTGCTAAACAATTTTCCTTGCCAGCACCTTAGGATATATATAAAGAACGGTGTGGAGAATATGTACACTGATGTTAGGGTGTAAAGGGTTAAACATATACCCATCAACACAAGATGGCTGATCATAGGAGATAATTCTGTAATGGGCGTGTTGAAGCTCTAACATCTATTAGAACATCATTCAATGTAAGTCAAAAGAATGTATTTTACATACGCTATGCCTTCATTCTTTTGCTTTCACCTCTCACCTCTTTCATGTATATTCACTGTGTTTGTGTCTTTGGATTGTCGTCTATTTTCTTCTACGTCCTGCACACCTTTACTTTGAATGAAAGCCACCATACACTGTCAACAACGTCCTTGTCTTCCTGTACATTGATTGCAGTTCTTTTTGTTCCCCACATCAATGCCTGCATTATTCCTGAAAAGCGACACACATAACCTTTTGATAGCTGTGATAATATTCTCGGCTTCGAGCTTCTGAAATATTCAGCTTCAACTTTATTCTTCTTCTCTTGTGATTGGAAGTACAGATTGTACATATGGCCGCAGTTGCTTGTCAAACATTTCAATTAATGTCTTTCTGACAGATTGAGGTTTCTACCAATGATTGGCTGCTGTCTTGGCATGCGTTTAGCTTTAAATATTCGGTGCTTTTACAAAAATTCTTTTTATCATTGTTACTAATATTATTATTATTATTGTTATTATTATTTTTATTATTATTGTTATTGTTATTATTAGGGATTCGTTGCCATTCGTATGTAAGATTAACGTACTCACAAAAGCCTATTAAAAGCTTTCAAAACCCGTTGTAATCTGAAATATGTTTCCATTTTTCATAAATTCTTAGCACAGTTGTAGAAGGCGCAGGCACTAGCAGTCTTTACCCTTGTGATCTTCAAATTGAGCCCTTTGCATTGTCTTAGCGACCATATTTAGAAGAACGACGACAGCCGCAGCCCACAAACTTTTAATAATGAGAGTTGGTTGCAATGACAATACATATTTTTTGACCATGCAGTTTGATGCTTAGCGCAGTTTTTGCATGTTTTGGTCTGCGCACGAGGTGATTTGATTTGAGTCAAATTGATCGTCGATGGATTATTAACTTGAATAGCTATCTTATAGTTTCAGTGATCGATTATGGAGCTCTACAGGAAATGCTTTTTTCTGACCGCTAGCCAACCAGGATATTTGGTGTTTTTGTCCTAGAATTATTCAGAAGGTGGCAAAAATGATTTGTAGGCTTAAATGTTTCCTTGCGGGGCTATTGTTCATCTTAAGTGCTTTCTCTCGCGCCATTAAGTATGTCTGGAACAACTCCGCTGGGAGTCCGGTTTTATTACAACCCTTATTGGTACAGGATTGACGAATATAATCAAAGAATTAATTTTGTTTATGTACCCATGATTCTGTATGCAGTTGTGACAGTGTTAGCGTTAATTTAAGAGAGGTTATAAGGTATTTTTTTCATCGATTTTCATGATATTTCAATAATGCATTTATTGAGGTACTGCGTACGCGCTTACGCTATTCGTCGGTTGTAAAAAGGAACTCTCATCGTTTCTTTTTCGATTTACTCTCGTAACAACAGATGCTCTCTTTGTTCCTAACTCATTATTTTTATATTTTGCTTTGTTATTTCAGTTATGACCGCGGCTGATTTTTCAAGCCAAACTTACACAAGCGCAGGCATTGACTTGTGTTTATGTCGTGGTTCAGATTTCGGATTTGCTTTATTATAATTTTTTTATTGACTTTTTTTTTCTTCCTTGTCTACCTTTACGCGCCAGTATTTTTCGTGCAGTTAGTCTCCATATTAATCAGTATCCAAACAAAGTCCACTCTTATGCTCTGCCTATTTTCGCACGCCTATTAGTAATGCTCGTTATAAGCTTTTCGTTGCATTCGATTTTTGAAAAGCATGTTTTTGAAGGGATGAATTCTATTATAATTTGGTTGTGCTAAATGATAGTGGCGAGGCAACTGACTGACTAAAGACTGATAGCCAATATCTATCTGTCTTTCGCATTGTCTCGACAACGCTATCCGCGCGTAAAACATATTTAAATGCATCAAGTCAACGCGTAACCAGCACGGAAATTTGATTCTTGTTGTTAAAGTCTTAATTGAACGGATTTGTCTCCCCACTGAGACCACTTTGTATCTTAAGATTACGTGGTTCAGGAAAACTACGTTTTTCCGTAAAGCATGATGTTGATATTATCCGTTTCGGTGTTTTGCTTGTAATTTTGATTGACATTGAAGCTTCTGTCGAATGTTGTTATCCGTTAATTTTTCCAAATTGGCTTCTGAAACAAGGCGTGAACTCTCAGGTGTCACTGGGAGGTGTGAAGATTGGCTGAACTCATGGGCAGACAGTGTGACAACTCCGTTTTCATGTGTATATAACGAAATGGGCAGTGACTTTGTCCTAACATTGGTGTAATTCTAAGGTTGGGTCTCGTTATTAAGTCATCTCTTTTGATCTGCATGATCGTTATTCTTGCATAACGCGTTTGTTTTGTTTGTGTTGTTTTTTCTTTTTCAATTTTTGGCAAACTGTATAACCCATGATTTTTTCCAATTTGTACCAATTTGTTGTAGCTAGATGTTATACTTCCTACGGTAATCATACAGCTTGTGTCTTTGGTATTATTGTTTAAGTAAATGGCCGCCTGTTTAACCTAAGTGGTTATGACAAACCTGCTTTCTTATTAAAAGGAAGGTCAGCTAGAACTGGTTTAAGAAGCTTTCACAAACCCTGTCCGGGTTTGACTCGGTCCATTATTTTCCCCTCGGGATTTGCGGTGAGTACAGTTGCAATGCAAGTCGTAGAGAGGAATTTTGAGCTGATACAGTAAAAGTTTTTCTAAGAGTATTGGAGCTGGTCAATGAGAAGGCCATGCCAGTTCCGTACCGTTCTTTGCAGGATTCGATTCAGTTGCTTATATTACGTTGATAGTTTGTGGAAAGCAGAAGAACAACATACAATCGAAAGACTGCGAAACATTCAGTTTCACTGCTGTTCAAGTAGTGGTCATTGCTTCGAAGATCACTCTCATCTTCGTTTATTAATCCGCAGTACAAATATATAATATTCATTTATTCACAGTCGTTCATTCATTACTCATAATCACGGGTTGATTACGAACTAACAAAAAGACCCGCTCTAAGTTGGCTTATTGGCTCAGTTGATAGAGCTCTGCAACGGTATCGCAGAAGTAATGGGTTCAATTCCCTAACTGGCTGAATTTATTTCAGGCTTTATTCTCACTGCTGCTTTAATAGTGTTCATTACTGTGAAAATCACCCACTTCTTTATTTGGTAATCTTCAGTTCAGGCATATTATATTCATATATATGCCCAGTCTTTCAGACCTCGAAACATGTTGGGGAAATGAGAAGTGAGTCTTTCCGCCCATCTGGAAAAAATAAACCGACTTTCATATTAAAATATAAATGTACATTAACGCGCTTGTCTTCTTTGGACTTAACTGTATTAGGCCAAGTAATGCAACTGTTTGCCAGTCTTTGCGTTCTCTTCCAGACCTTTGCTCTCAAAATTCCCTTCTTACGTTCTTTCGCTCATTATCTCTCGCTGAGAGCCTGTTACAGGCTTTTACAGGTCGTTTACAGGTCGTTTTTGACGATATTTGCAATTGATGTTGTTCATTGATTGTTGGGATATCACTCCGGGTACTAATTTGTAACGCAAATTCCTCCCAATTCCTCATGTTATTTTCTCAGTCTTAAATAAAAGCTGTGCCGTAGCAATACGAGAACAAAGACTTTAGTAAGTTGGAGCCAATGCGACGTTTACACAAGCATCGCCGTCACTGTGCAGCTTGTTTATCCAAATAATCAAATACATTCGTGCTCTACTAGTACATGTAATGATTACCGTCCTCATGTAAGTAAAACAAACATTCAAGTCTTTACTATCCTTTATCAAGGTCAAAAAGTATGGAATTCACTTCTCTAGGAAGTAATATGCTCTGATACCCTCCTTGTTTTGCAGGAAAAAAAATTAAAAAACAAATTTATTGAGTACATTGTAAATGAGGAGTCCTCCTTGGTATAAGCCTGCTTATTTCTGAAGGCCTCCTCTATATTATTATAATGATTACTACCTTTTCGTTTTCTAAGGCGAATTGAATGAATAAACAAATAAATAAATAGTTTTATTTTCTTTTGTATTTTTTTCAAACAGGTGCCGGCCTACATTATAACTTTGCATGACTTGCTGGCTCTCACTCCTCATGATCACGTGGAGAGAAATACTTTACAGTATGCGCAAAGTGTCTTGGAAGATCTTTCCACGGTAAGCCACAAGAGCTGCAACCAAACTTCAGCAGGAATGGTAAACTGGTAGCCCTAATTATTAGGCTAACCCTAAACTGGATAATTACTAAAGCTTATTTTTTCTAATAATAGCGCTGAGTGCGTGTTTCCCGCTTTGAGCTAGATTCATCATACTACCTTCAGCAATTGTACACATAAGAGCATAACTTGTATTCGGCTGATTTTTTTCTCTCCCGGTAAATTTAAGAACGCCATATTTCGCAAGTAGGAATGCGAAATATTTTATGTCGAATTTCAAAAAAGTTAACCCTCAGACAAGTACTACAAAACCTGAATAATGATGAATGGCGTTTCCGGTGGAAACAGACCCTACCCCCATCGCAAAAGAAAATGAATAGATAAATTGATAAACCAACAAACAAAAAAGCAAAAACAAACATCAAAGGAATAAACAAACGATCACAACCAAGAGATAGCGAACCTTTTTTCCAGACTAATATTTTACAGAACTTTCAAACTGAAGTTTATATGAACTATTGTCTGTCAGTGGCTTTGAATGAGACACCCATGCGACCATTGGCTAAATACTGATCTCCCTTCAATCGCCATTTCTGCCACATTTTGTATTTTGTTTGTCAGGTAATGCACGACGAAGTCAGTGAGACAGAGAACATTCGTAAAAATCTGTCCATAGAGCGTCAGATTGTGGAAGGCTGTGATATGCTTTTGGATGTAAATCAGATTTTCATAAGGCAAGGTAACGTAATTTTTCACGTAAAGTTTCCGTTGCTTGTCTTGATCACCTATCAGCTGTGAACGTAACGCAAAGAGATTTCATCAGTTTATCTTTTCATTTTGTTTTCTCTTATGGCTTTAATTGTTTGTTTCTCACAAAAAGAAACGTCTAACTTGAGTGCGTATTTTGTCTTAGGAAATTTAATTCAGGTTACAGAAAATCGTAAGGGTAAAACGTTTGGTGGATTGTCGCTGAAGTCTTCGGAAGGAAGGAAAGAGACTGTTCGTCAATGCTTTCTGTTCTCAGGCTTCCTGCTGCTGACCACTAGATCATCAAGCGGACGCCTTCACCTTACTAAGGTACAACTCACCGCACCAATGGGTTAGCTTCAATATGAGGTGGCCCCAGTTGCTGATTTGCCTTAACCAAAGTCTTACAAAAAATTCCATCAACACATCTACGCTTTGCGAACCTGTAGCAAAGATTTAGTAATGACCTGAAATGTAAATAAGTTATATAGGATATGCAACATTTAATCAAACAAGTTCATTCAGAAACTTCGTCGCTACTTCGAATGTCACCACTTCGATTATGGCTGGGGCGCCATTGCTAACCCGTGATATTTCCGTGTCGTGGTTTAACCCTTTCACTCCCAGCGGTTCAAAGAATGAATATCTTATTAAAATATCCATTTTCAAACAGAGAGGCGGCGGGAAAGAAGGGAAACATCAACTAGGTATATCGTTTGATTTCTCACGAAATTCTCAGATCTAATATCATGAAATTTTTGGCAGACAATGTGGAGAATGTTGTTTAGAGTTTGAGTAAATTGTTTTTTTAAGAACGTGCAGGGGAACGTTTTGATTGAATAATTCATTCGAACTCGCAAACTTTTTCTCAGTGTGGTTCTCTTGGTTTGTCGTAGAATGGTGCTAACATTTCTCTCGCTGATGCTACTTTAGTCGAGGACTATTTTGAAGACGGTAAGTCACCTAGGCTGTTTTAAACGTCAGTAGAAAGACTAAGAAAAAGTTTTTCTGTCGTCTTTTAAATTCGAAGAATGATGTCCAATATGAAGTTGGAAAATTAGCAGATCGGCTTTAGTTATTGGGCCGTCACAACGGAAATTGCGCCTGGTGTTGAATTGGTTGATGATAATGTTTTTGGAAGGAGGGGGGGGGGGTTCGTAAGGAGTCATCTGGCGGAACGGGTTGGTCGCGATTTGTCCACTGTAGGGCGACTTTTTTTTCCCGATTTAACCTGGGTGTCAACACAAGTATGCTTGTATCGCAGGGGATGTCGAAAGCCTCGGTGGCCGAGGATACCAGGAATTTGACTTAGACGATCTGACATTTAAACTGATTGTACGATCACGTGATAAGCCTGAGCCAGGACCTCCCTATACTGTAACTTTAATGGCTCCGTCGGCACAAGAGAAGGCTGCTTGGACTTCTGATATAAGCCAGGTACACTAACCAGATCATCACCAGCACTGGCCTTACTTATTAACTCAACTAATGATTGTCACGAGATGTAACCAGGATGTTTAACAGAGGGAAAATGTTTTTCTAAACCAGCCCCTCGCTCTGCCACGGCAAGTCGGCTAAGAACAACCGCAATCGGATCTTATTACAATCAAGACAAATTAACCTTATGTTTGCCTTTACTACGTTTAAACGTTTTGTATTTTTGTCAGGTTTAGGCACCTATCTCTAAGACTCGACTCTTCGAATTCAACAGGAAATCAAAATGATTCACCTTCAATAGTTATCCCATATAACCTGACAGCGGATGATAAAACTTGTACAAGTACATTGGAAAATCTCAGAGACGGTGTTTGCGTGACGCTACCTTTCGTTTTGTCATTCGAATCTTTTCCTTTGTGACCTTTGTCATTTGCTTCATCTACTTGATAATTTCCATATTTTCTTTCCGTTTTCTTTATGTTCCATAAGGTGAAACTGTTGGTTTTCTTTAACAAAATTCACCTTTCATATTGCAGCTTCAACTTGGTCTTGCATTTGGCCTGTTAAGAATTTATTTAAAGATTTTTACGGCCTCTGAATAAAATTTTGAGACCGTTGTAGTGGGCGCACGGCATTTTCTGATCCGGGTGGGCGGCGCTATGTCCGTAAGTTCTTTATACTCACCACGTTTAAAAGCTTTCTTTAGTGTCTTTTGCTCAACCAACGCCGGCTAATGAACGTTCATGGAATCTTGAAGGAGAAATATTACCTGAGTTCATGCTTGGAAGTTTCTTATTTCTATTTACGAAAACATTCTGTTTTTGCTTCTTGTACGATATGATTCAGAACTTGAACTACTTACTAGGAATATTATTTATATGTAGCTATTAAAAAGCAAAATAAAACAGTCATATTTTATTCTAGATGATACGGAGAGATTGGCTGTTTTAAACAATTTCCGCCGACCAGTGTACACTTCCGCCCACCATCTAAATATGGCTACGAATCTCTCGGGACGAGATGTGTTCATTAATGAAAGTCTCTCTCAGAATCCAAAGAATTTTACGAGGCTAGTTTTTTGGAGGCTTGTACCACATAATCACGATTTTATCTTAGCTAATAAGGAAACAGTTTAGTCATTGGATTCTATGGCTTACGTTGCCAAGAGAAACTTCCGCTGTGGCAGGTGTAGTCAGCTGGTTTCAATTTGTAAATGCATCAGTTAAAAACGTGGGTTAAGTTTACCGGAATAAATTAGCTTCTCTCAACCAGTTGTGTTTAAGCTTAAATAAAACAGGAAGTCGACTTTTATCGTCACTCACCGCACTGTAAAATGCTTATTGCAGTATCTTTGTCTAGTTTGGTGTTATAATTGTTAAGGTAGGCACCTAAATTGCTGAAAAACTTCGCTTTAACTATTTCCTATTTATTCTGTCAGTGTTAACGTGACATGAATATTGTTTTTGCTCTTTAAATAGTATTGTTATTCTTAAATAGTGTAGTTTTTTTAATCGTGAATTAAGCTGTTTTGCATTAGTTAGGCAAATTACTGGTTGCTGCCAAAATCTTCACAAAATATTTTTTGCCGCAAAAACCGGTTTTTTTTTGTGGGAGTTATACTGGCGTTCTTGGTGCCTAATCATCTTATAACCTTATGAGGCTTGCCTTTCAGTGTATCGAGAACCTTGCAGTGATGGCTGAAGAAGACAATATCTCAGTTGCCTCAAGACGTAGCTCAACCAGTGTTAGGTCAGGGTTTTTTTCTTGTTTTCCCAAATTTTAGAGGAATTTAAAACTTGTTGAGTTTGCTTGGTTTAATTTTCTTAATTCCAACTAAACAGGACTTCTGAAAACGTACCTCGTACAACATTCGTGTGTGAAGTAATTTTATTTAATTTCAGGACATACAAGCATAAAGGCTACTTTCCTTACATTTGCCCATAGGATGTCTTGATAGTTCCAAAAGCGTTTGAGTCAATCCGATCAACTCACTATTTCCCATGTAATCGTCTCCGTCTTTGGATGCACGTGCTTACCGGAAGAGCGCTTCTTTCGAATAACTTCCGCTATCGATTGAGCGCCTCACTCAAAAGTAACATTATTTGTGTCTACTGTTACCATGTTTTTCGGTTACACTCGTTTTTACGTGCAAATGGCGCATCATCATCGATTTATCAAATTCATTGTTTCGGGGATGCAGACCGGGACGAAGCGGTGAGATCAAAGGTTGTCTTAATTTGGTTTTTGTCGCCCCTTCTATCCCCGCTTTCTGCGCGGTGTTTTTACGATTTGTCTTGTTGAATATTCCTTGTGTGTCGTTTCCGGTAAGAATAGTTATTTGCTTTGTTTATGTTTAATTGTATTTATAAACGGTTATTTCTATTTTAAATGTAGATCGGACCCGAAACTCTTTACCGATGATGTTGATATAAAATACTGCAAAGCACTCAACTGCTGCAAGCTACCGAAGGTTAGCGCTCAGTTTCTCTCTAATCTCATTAATTTCAAATGCTATAAAATTTAGAAAACTATGTTATTTCCCTTTTAACTTAAAGTGTTGTCAAATAATTCTGTTGAGTGCATTATTTTAGGATACTTCTAACAGGCCACAGTTGACGTTTGCCACTGTTGTGATGAACTCATTAACCAAATATGAAAGATTGTAACTAACTAAATACGCGAGCGTGGGTCCTGACTTACTAAGCCTAACAATCCTCAGAGCCTTCCCTTAAACAATTATCGAGTTTGATCTATTAGTAAATTTAAAAGAGGCATTTATTTTGTTTGAAAAACTGCGACGAACGGGAACGATCCTGCGCAGAGTACCTCTGAAACGTATCTGTGTTAATTAACATGAGGCTATCGACAGTGCTGATCCAAGCAGTATGCAGGACGTGTGTCATATGAACTTCGTAATAGACCTCACTCACCGTAGACTCTCTACGGCTCAGTGGTAGAGCATCGGAGCGCGGAATCCGAAGATCTGAGGTTCAATTCCTCTTGGGGACTCAGAATTTTCTCTTTGTCCCACGCTCGTGACAAGACGAAAAACATATTTCTCTATTTCTTTACCGAGCTCAGAACTTACCATCTCTCTTATTCTATTTACTTGCCTTGTTTTAAATCGTTCTCTCGCAAGCGACATATAGTCGAACCAGTATTAAGCGGTCACCTACGGGGAATGGTGGGGCGAACGCCATTCTTTGCCATAATTGGCCGTTTAATGCACAAAAAGTCGCCTAGAACTACAATCAACAGTGATTTCAGTTGGTAAACATGAATTAAATTTTGCTTGAAAGATAATTCTTAGTTTAATTCGAGTGGTTCCGCTTGAAGTGATCGTTCAATACAGGTGGGGCATAATAGAAACAGGCAGTCGGAACTTAACTAAAGGAAGACCGCCATCGCTTAATAGAGGTGACCGCTTTTGATATAGGTGAAAATAAAAGTAACTGAGGGAAACAAATTTCGGGACTTTGACAACTGACAGCTTAAAACAGAGTGGCCGTTTGGTACGGTACCGCTTAAAACAGAATCGTATGGTCGCTAAGGACCACTAGTGGCATTCACTTCAAACCTTTTGGAAATGTTTAATGTGTATGATTTGTTTTGTTTGTCGCTCTAGATACGTCATGCTAGCTTGGAACGTCTTTTGGAACGCCTTTTAGATACTCGTTTCCTCAGTGCGGACTTCTTAAACACGTTCCTTATCACGTATCGCGTGTTTACAACAGCTTCCAACCTCCTTGATACCTTGCTGCAGTTTTACTACACTAATAATGCAAAGGACTACCCACTGTACTCGGCCACAGACGTGTTTTCCCCAATAAGCCGTAAAGTCCGATCCGTATCGCTTCCCAGTGAGGCACTGAGTCCCCGTCAAGATAAGAAGAAAGGTAATAATTAGACTTCATAACCAAATAGATCTGACTTAAGGTATTTACTCGAAAATGGATTTTTTTGCGTATTAAGTTTCCTAATTAGTCAATAGGCGCTTGTTCAGAGCGCTAACGTTTTATTGAGTTATAGTTCTGCGGATTAAAACTGAACGTTATAAAATATAGCCAGCAAGATTATCTGCGAAACTAACTAATTAAACTGAAGAAAAAAATTTACGGTTAGCCTGGATTGGGATAATGGGCTTGAACACCCTGATACAGGCTTGCAAAAGCCATGTGCTGATATTTCAGATATGTGTAAGAAACGTTTGGGTAAACTTTGAACAGTACCCAAGTGACCTGTTTATTTGTGAAGAATTTGTTCCTTTATGCAAGTGTTTGTATTTATGATTTCTGTGTAATCTTTGATAGATTGGCGTGAAGTTAGTTCGGTGATCCTCATCAGCGTCTTTCGTGTGCCTTCGCTTTTCTTCCTTGTAATCTTAGAGGTGCAAAATTCCGCGACACGTTGAAAAGTTGAGAACCTGTACAAACTGATTTCATGTAATTGACAGAGAGACGCATGTGCATACCTTTCATATTGCTCTTTAAACCCCTATTTAGCTTCTATCGTCAACAATCCTGAAATGAACGGAGCTCTGGGGATAATTGGTTCCCAGTGTAGTGCAGCTCCGTGATATTGCCATGTTTTATGTCTCACAAACTATATATGATGTGTGATAAATTCAGTTGTAGTACCCGCGTCGAAAGCTCGTTTTGTGTCTACCTATTAGCCAATCGAGGTCAATTACCTCAATTTGTAAATGCGAACGTCGTTTCTCGATATCATTAATGAGCTTACTAAGGTGATTTTTTTATTTACACTGAGGATGTCTATTTCTTCCTCACGGAAATGTAAAAACAGAAAACTGGTAATTGTCTTTTAACTCGTACACACTGGCGTACTTGACAACGGTAGTAGAATTTCAGTTTTAACTTTTTCGAGCATCCGTTTGTTAACAAACTGCTTTTGGTTAAAGTTACTTTCATACTTATTATAAACTTAATTTAGACTGCTTGATAACTCCCCGTTCAGTTATTGGCACTTTGCACTCCTTTACTTTGGGACACGTGTAAATTTGTCCGTTTAAGTTGAATTTGTTTACTTCCTAGTCAATTTTGTTTTCTGCGTCGTTGCTTTGGCAAATTTCATCTTCCGCCGTGTTCGTGCGCCAAACCTGCTCCCTTATTTTAGAAAATGTATTTAAAACATAAATGATTCCTGATCTTGAGTAAAACTTTACCTTTTTGTTCCCTATCAAGGACGGAATAAGTTCTTTGGTGAACAGAATCAACAGTCTCCTTCGCAGTCCATCTCAATTACTGTTTCTGGTGTAAAAATGCCGTCGGATAACGAGCAGGTGGAGAATAAACATCAAGAAGCAGAAATAGAGTCCAGGACGCCAGACCGGTTGTGCCCAAGTAACTACCACTCCTACAGGCGACACTCGTCACCTTCCGCCCTTGGCGAGACCGCTGCGTTCGAGTTTCCTGAATCCTCTGACGATCCACCTCAGTCACCAGAGGAAGACTCGCCGACACCTATTCGACATGGAGGGCCTCAGAACTACAGTTCACCGTTCTTATCACGCGGGAACAACACTCGCACCCGTGCCCAGAGTAGTTCATCGGATTTTATGTCTGGAGGGAATGGTAAAGACAGCTCACTGTTATCTTCTTCCCAGGAAGATGACATTTTTGAACTAAAATTTGAGCTACAGGCCCCGCCGAAACCGCGTAGTAAAAGATCTCGTCCGTCTTCATCAAGTGGAACTGCTGTTGAGTCACTGGAGAGTAGCTTTCAGACATCCTCCCCCCCTTTTCGAGCATCTTTAAACACGGTATCTAAACAAGTTCAGTCAACAATTAATTCAAATCATGAGGGAATGGAGAAAACAAGGAGAAGACTCACTAATGCCGTCGAGAACTATGATATAAGTTTGGATAGTGGGGAATTTTCTCAGGCACCCAGTGTGATAAATCGGCGACGGTCTTCTCCTGCTGTGTCGCGCGAACGGTTGGTTGAGCCTCCAATCACTTGTCTTGGAATAACTGTGGACAGTAGCTCAGAATCACCCCTGAACAAACATTCATCGAGAGGACCAAGTTCACCATGTCGGCTCTATAAGATCGTCAAAGAGGCAGAGGAAAGAGTGCTAAATCTCAAGTCACAAAGGCGTCCCAATTCTCCGAAGCTATCGTCTCATCCGCCTAAGTCGCCTGTCTCCCCTATAAGTTCACCGCGTTCTCCTCTTTCACCATCGGCTACTAGCGTTAGTGCCGGAGTTGTGGTGACATCATCAAGACCTTCCCGGCGCAGGTCCAGTATATCATCTGCAGCTTCGGCTTTTGCCGCCGCAACCGCAGGCGCATCTCCTTCTTATGCGGCTAATTCATCTCCTACCACAAAATTCCGTTTTGGTTTGTAGAAAATTGCATTTAATTGTCTCCTGGTTTACAGTTTTTGTTTGGCTTAACTATTCTTTTTTCTCTGATCTATTGTCAGTTTGTGTCTTCCCAGGTCACACAATCAGAGAACTGCTATCCTCAAACACCGAGAAGGCCACGATGAGGGTTTTGACCATCTTGCGTCACTGGGTAACCAAACACCCAGAGGTAAGAATTGTTGTGAATATGTTTGCTGCAGTTACCTGCTGTTTTTCATAGTTTTCCTTTCTTTGCCTTCTGTTTACCATTTGTTTTTTATTCTTTCATCCTCAGGACTTCGAAGGAGACCCAGCTTTGAAAGAGCAATTGATCTCGTCAATGAGTCATATTCTCGCTTATGATGGATCAACGAATTTAGAGCAAAAATTTGCGACGGCAATTATAAAGTAAGATGACATTGATGATGTAAGTAAGATGATGTAAGTAAGATGACACATGAGATGACATTGTCGTGGAAAAGCACCTTTTGTTCTGTAACATGTTAAGTTGATGGTGGACAAAAACTCAAACTCAAACTCAAACGGCACCCCGTAAAAAATGCACCATTTCGTCTTTTCAGTATAGAATGGTGAAATGTGTGGGTGTTTCCGTTTCATAAATGGGATCCGTTCCGTTTAGTTTACCTACTAGAATTACAACAAGCGCCGTCGAATATAAGTACGACTTGGAGAAAAAAGGTATTATAAGGGTATTAACCTGGAAATTTAGCTTTCCGTTTCTATGACAAAAAGTCAAAATTTCCTACTGGTCCGGTTTTCTCCTTAGGACGCTGGAGCGAAAGCATAAGGAATTAGAAACTCTACTCTCATTTGAAACAAGCTGTCTTGCCATGGTAAGTTCCCTTCAGTCTGTCCACGGTCTTTTCGGTCGAGTCCTTTCTCCTATCTCCTGTCTTTTGTGCTTTTAGTTTAACAGCTATGGGTCTCTCCTCTCTTCCTCTTTAATGCCGTGTCCTTCTCATAAAAGTGATATTACGATGAAGAAAATTAACTCTAGTCCCCTCTCGATTTCAGTGTTACTTTTTGCCAGTCTTACTGGCCTTGATAAAGAGAGACAGAGAGAGACAGAGAGAGAGAGAGAGACAGAGAGAGAGAGAGAGAGAGAGGGGGGAGTGGGTGGGTGGGTGGGTGGGTGTGTGTGTGTGTGTGTGTGTGTGTGTGTGTGTGTGTGTGTGTGTGTGTGTGTGTGTGTGTGTGTGACGTCATGTACATTTCAGTTTGATTTTTCACTGTATCAACCCTTATAATTTTTCAGGCGGAAGAGCAACTAGCTTCTAAAACAAGAAAGTGTTGTACAGCTTACTACACAAATTAGGTTTACATGTTGCAAAATTAAACTCAGTTATACATGGCGTCATATTCTTTCTCGGTCAAGCTCTCTTAATGTAACTGGACTGGGCATAATCTAATAATGGCAGAAGGTTAAACGAGAAATCATATTTTTACAAAAATTTTGATTAATTTTTGAAAACTGAAGTGCTATTATTAATAAGTTGTAAAATAATAAGAAAATCGGAATCTAAAGAGAAGGGGAACGAGGACAAAAATGCATTCCTGTAGCACTGTAAGGGTAAACCGAGCTTTCATCTGACTTTTAGATGTTATGTGTCCTCATAAACTCTATCGATTATGCGCAGGGTTCAGGGCAGACGACAAACCCAGACAACTTGGCTACGTTCGACAAAATCTCAGCCACTCAGCTAGCCGAGCAACTCACATTCGTCGAACATGTTTTATTTTCCAACATTCCTTCACAGTAAGTCTTTCGTGAAGCTTTCATCTTAATTTTGATGGTAATAAAATGTTCGTCCTTTTATCTAATGGCGTCGCCCTTTTGTTATTTCAGCGAGTTTCTCAACCTTTCCTGGATGAAGCCGGATAAAAACGCTCGGGCTCCCGGTATTCTCCGCGTGACAAAACGATTCAACGAAGTATGTGTGTCTGCACTAGAAACTCACAAAGGGTTGAATTGTGTAACTTGCAGGTTTCGATTGATGCTCTTAAATATCTTTTAACTTTAGTACCGTATCGAGGCAGTGATCATCCGTTCTCATTTGTGTAACTGTTACACTGTTCTAACGCACTTTGTAATAATTGTTTTCTTTGTAATAAATTTGTCGCACTTTGTATCTATCTGATTATTATCAATACTATTATCGTTATAATTATCATTATTATTATTATTGTTATTATTATTATATCATCAAATGTTTATTACTGTTTTCGTTATTGACAGGGATGATAGTTATTATTGGGCTTTCTCGCCCTCGGACCATCTTTACCAAGTCAATTACAAAGTTGCGACAGCTTACTTATTACAAAGTGCGACAGCTTACTTATTACAAAGTACGATAGATGTTACAGTGTATAAAGTGCAATGATTATTACAAAGTCAGAACATGTGCCACAGAACATGCACGCGCACCCATTAAAACTGATTTGCATAGAATCGCTAACTAACAGTTGACCTCTTCTGTGCGACCTCATTAAGTTTGGTACTGAAGAACACAAACATTCCCTAAACATAAACTTGGACCGTTAAGGCCGAAATTTATCGAATTCTAAGCAAAACGGAGGATACTGGGTGTTTTCTTGTTACCAAGTTTGATACTTAGGCCCAAGTCACACAACAGCCCAAACCAAAAATTTGGCAGCCAAAAAATTTTCCAAAAGTTGAAACCGCAACCGGTAGTACTGAAAAATGTGACACAATTTTTGGGTCGCACTACCGAAATACAAGAATAGGTAAAAATAAACACAGTTGATCAGATTTCATTTCTGGCGCGTATTGTGCGGTAATACACATGAACCCAAATCAGGCATTTTGCTTTGCTATTGTCATTTTACTTCAACTAATTATCGCAAGCAGCAAGTGTTTGCCTTTTTCATACTGTATCAGAGATGGGTAAATGAATACATGCAAATGCTGAATGTCGCTTTTCTAAGGAGACAGCGGCATTTACGTAGAATTCGTGTAGCGCCTTACACGTGGATCATTCCTCGCCCAGCCGAATCGTGGTTTGATATTCATTGGCGATTTTGTACCGCTCGATGAAATAATTCATCTTCTTTTTACATTTATCTCCAGTGCGCTTGGTTCCAAACTTGCGATTTAACTCACGCGCAACTTCTTCCCACGTTTTCCGTGCGTCTTGCTCTCTACTAGCTCATGACGTTCTGCCCATAGGCTTACTAGAGCCCTTTGCTCTTCTAGCGGCCATTTGTCATATTGTTTTTTGTCTTTTTCTTCCAAACCTTCAGGTGACGCGGATCTGTCGGGCTATCGCTCTCACTTACTACACTTGCAAGACTATCGGACCGATTAAGCAAAATTCCGCTAGGTCTCGCTTGATCTGAGATCGGTCCACCAATGTAGGGTGGAAATGACAAAAATTTTGGCTTGGGAATGATCCTGGCGCATAATGAAAAGGAAAACGTCCATCCATGCCGAAAGTTGGCGGGTGAATATTAAAATTCCCGCCGATTGAGTAGTTTAACTGCAGGTCATATCTGGGTCAAGTGACTGGCGTTGACAGCTCCGGAAGCGCTGTCTTTTGTTTTTTTCGATTTTTCCAATATCTGCCTGCCCCACCCAAACATTTCGGTGTCTCTGAAGTTTCTGCGGACTTTCCGAAATTTTAGAAATTTGTGAAACACCGGTCGCATAAGGAACGCGTTGTGATGACAGACAATAATCTTTTTTGGACGGATTATTGATCAAAACTTACTTAGTGCGACCCGGGCCTTAGAAAAGTACATACAAACGAAAGAGCGATCTGGAAAATTTTCTAACTACTAAAAATAGAACTTAGTGATTTGCTGCAACCTGAATTTTTTTTCGCTAAAAAATAGAAGTAGCTACATCTGCATTTGTGTGTGGAATGTGACAACAAACGTTTAAGGTGAATTGTTTGTAAAAGAGTGCCGCCAATTTGAAGAACTCCTGAATATATATTTCAGTACCATGAACTTGACCGTGGCGGAAACTGTTTTATCTTAGTACCTATCTTTTCCCAGATGACAGAAATATGTGATTTTGTGTTCAACTAGTCTGCTGGAGTTTCCCTTTATAGATTGAACACGAGGCAAGAGAAATAGGAAGCATAACGGTTTGCTCATTTCAGAAAGGAAGCGATGAAGGCTGCACTCGAGTGTACGATTAAAAATGAAAGTTCCTAAACTGCTCATTAACTATCTGTACTAAGACTTTCAACACCCTGAAGCAAAACCACGTGAAAGCTAATCTTTGATTTTTTTTTTTTTTTTTTTACGTTTTTAGACGTTATATTCGCTATCGAGGCTCTTGTTATTAGCTACCCCTCGAACAACAATTTAACAAATGATAACTTACCACATTAGTAATGGTAACAGGACCGAGTGGAGTCTAATTCGGTCTGTAATCATTCGAGTGATTGACAAAATCGGACGACCGCGAAGTTATGGTTATTGTGATCAATTCTGTGATTGGTGGATTTAGCTGTCCGATTACACTGTCCGCTTACAACTGTGCAGAATGATTAGAGAAATATAAAGCAGCTGATGCACCAGTCACATTTGAGGAAGTTTTAATGGTTATGATAAATAACCGAAATAGGTTTTGGTAACCCTTAAAGTTGGACGATATGCCTCGAAAACATACGTGCCACGTTCTTAATTGCACGAGCATAGATGATGAATATTCATGAACGCCTAAACTCAACTTAGAGGTTTCAACCCTTTATACGTTTCTATAGACAGTGCGAATTTAAGCATAACGTTTACGGCAACAGCAGACAACAAAAATGAACAATGACTTTACTTACTATTCCCGCATCTTTGCTATTTTGCTGCTAGGATGATTTGAAAGGTTACGGTAACCCTCCATGTCTAATGTTTTTGCGCACATAAGGCCTAAAGCAGACAACCTTTAAATGAATTTTTGCCTTTTGCCGTAAATGTCATGCTGAACCTCTCTGGTAGTTCGTCATAGATGATGTGTTTGTGGTGTCCCAGAAAACTTTTTGGGTTGGTATTACAAATTGATTTTAAAAGAGGTCGTTAGTCGATTATTGTGCAATTTTAAACCGTGTAAGGACTTAGGCCATCGAGATAATACGTCCATTCATGAGTTAGTTTATCCCTATAATATTCTTTTGCAGACAAGTTGCCTGGTGGCTTCAGAGATTCTTAAGCACCAGACTCCATCAGCACGCGCCACAGTAATAGAAAAGTGGGCAGCTGTGGCGGAGGTTTGTCGTAACCTCCATAATTTTAACTCCGTTTTGGAAATAACGTCTGCGTTTATGAGCAGTTCGATCTACAGGCTGAGAAAGACCTGGGAAAAAGTATCAAAACAGGTGGGTGGTAAAATGAATAGCTAGGGGTTTTCCCTGATGAAATGATTGGCGTTCTAAGTCTTGGGAATTATTGGTTGGTTTGAGAGAATTCACCAAGAGCAAATTTCATGATGAGTAAGCTACAGAGGCAAAGAGAAATAGACTGGTGTCCTAAAGTTACTTAAGTGCCATGTTTGGGCTTGATTCAGAGTAAACGGAACGCTTGGCATAGTACCACCCGGGATATACGAGGGAAAAGGAAACGAGTGGAAAAGAAGACCACAATATTTACCCTGTGATACAAATAGCCTAAATCTCGTGCACATCAATATGTTATTTACATCTTTTTTATCCCCATAATATCAGTTCGAACATGCATTAGTAGTTTACATCTCTCATTTTTTATAATAGTTTCCAAAGTGAGCGAAAGATAAAGGAAACTACTCGGTGGAGGACCTAGGGTGCTCGTGACCTCCCTTTGAAAAAATCCAAGCCACATCCATGTCGAGAACTACAATGCATTTTGAATATTTTCTAAGCTCTGATTGTAGACCCAGGAGAAGACAAAGACAAACTCTGAAGACTTGCATCAATGTTAAATTTATGCATGCACTGTTAGAATAGGTTGTGGACTTGGCAGTAACTCTGCTCTGTTAAAAAAAGACGAAAGATAAGTATCTAGGGATTTAAGGGTCTTTGTTCTCATCCAATTTTGTCCAGTAGAGGTCATGCCTGTCAATATTCTCCCAAGGGCTTCTGAGTCGATTTTTTTCCAGTACGTTTGAACATACCCAATAGAGTACAAAACAATTGAAACCATAAAAGGAACATTGGGATCATCCAAATGAATAACAAGGGCTGCTCATTGACTCTGACGACGTAAAGTGAATCAGATTGTTATATTGCGGGCCTAATGGCAAGTCAGACCGTGTAATTGACGCCATACTATGTCGTTTGACCCTTCCGCAGACACGCACACTGATCGATCGTCTGCAGAAGCTGGTCAGTTCTGATGGTCGCTTTAAGAACATGAGAGATGCCTTAAGATGGTAGGGTTTTAATTTTCATACGTTACTAAATCTGTAGGTCCACTTTCCATCATATTGCAACTAGGGCAATAGCCGGTTTCGACCTAGAGGTTACATGTGATCGTGTTGGGTGAGGATAGTCCTTTAAAAGACTGTTGTCGACAGTAGTGTCTGACGTTTTGACAATCATGGCGGAGGTCATCCTCAGAGTGAGGCTCTCGTACATTCGTTAACCGTAGTCGTAGGTAAACCCACCTGAAAGAGGCTCGCTCATTGTTTATTGTGTCTGGCTGGTTACGATTGGTGACAAGTCAATGCTCAATATTATCTTTTCGCTTAGGTGTAACTTGCATGAAATTGCTTTTGTGGAATTTGCAGTTCTGATCCTCCTTGCATACCGTATCTTGGTTTTTACCTGACGGATCTGGCGTTCATTGAGGATGGCACACCCAACAATAATGAGAACGGACTCATAAATTTCTCAAAAATGAGAATGGTGAGGATTTGCTTTTATGAATCACATGCATGGCCCGTCGCTTAGATTAAAATTAGATTTACCAAACATTCATTGCCCTCTTTTTGTACTTAATCTGTTGTTCGTGTACTAAATTTGTTGATGCTAAATGTAAGTTGCTTTCTTGTTTCAGATCGCTCAAGTAATTGAAGAAATTCATCATTATCAACAAAACAAATACTCCTTGGAACCGGACAAGAAGGTAAATCAGCATTCCCTTTTTGTTTCTTGCTTCTACTTTTTATATCGCTACAACTTTGCCGTGGCCAGTCTACAAGTGGCCAGCGTGATGGTGCGCTGCAAGGTGTATTATACATGAGATCAGCTATACAATACAATAAGGTTTATTTACTTCACTTATGTTCTTCCTATTATTTGATGTAGTGTATCTGCGACAACTAGAGGGTTTCTCTGTGTAGTATTCTATCTATGATATTCCCCTCAGAGTTTCCTTTTCGATGAGAGTAAAAAGCCTAGCAGCGCCACCCTCGTTTATAGCATATTTCTACTATTTTATTTATTACTGATTTATTTAAAATTTTTGTCAGATGGTCTATTCATTCTAAATTAGAGCTAAAATATGTATCACTGTTTCAGATAATTAAATACCTAATGTCCAAAGACAACCTCACCGATGAAGACAAACTGTACCAAACATCTCTCACTTTGGAACCGAGGAAACGAGTATCTTCTAAAGTGAAACAACCTGTAGAAACTGAAATATAACTCTGCATTGAGCTGACCTTCGTGATGGAAGTACCTTAGATTTCGCCAGCATTAGAAGAAACATTTTATTCTCACTTTTTTTACTTCTCCCATCGTGAAATGTTTTGTTTCCGGTCGCGTTTGTAAGAAATAATTATCATCGTTTATTGAAGATCTTAACTGCCTGTAACAAAGTGCTTTTGAAATGGAATAGCTGCCAATAAATTTGTCTTTTGAAAGTGCTGCAACCGTTCTAAGAAATAATCTAAACTATGAACCAAAAAGTTTGAAAGATAAAGCCACTTAGTGAAGGATTTACTTGATATCCAATACTTTTTACTTATTTTCGTCTGTTTTTAACTGTTGGTACAACTCACACCCTTCAAGTAACAATTTGCTAGAATAGACTAAGAAAGATGGTATGTTTTTAGCAAGAAACTGACTGAAATTAAGAAAGATGCTTTTAGTCTCGAGCGTGGGTCAAAGAAAAAATTTTCGACCTTGCCGATCTTAACATGTCACGTAGGAATTTGGTAATGACCTTGGTTGCCGTAGAGTCGTCTGTAACATCGAAGTGCGAAATGGTTTGATACTCGATTCCTCATGAGAACATGAAGAAGATTGGATAAATGCGTCATGTAAAGCATAAGTGTGTATTATTCAAAAGGTTTTTACCACGTTTACATTACGTTCCAGCTTACATGAATATTAAAATGAGAAATTAGCAGCGGAATGTTAGGAATGCGTAACCACGTTGATAAGTAATCGTAATCACCACTCGTGACGACAATCGACCTTTTGGGGTTGAGAAAAGAACCTTTTTGGATAATCGGAACCAATTGAACGCGAGGGCGAAATATTACGACGAAACCGTGAGCTTTCGGCCATTAGCTTTGACTTTTTGATTCGGAAAGCTGCGTGGAAACAGTGATAGAACAGAGAGGAAATTTGGTGAGTAAACTTTCTCTTTTGTTCGAACTTAATAAGGAATTTCTTTGAAATAAGTTTTTCAGTATGTCACAGTTTTCGAAGGTGGAGTCAATTTGGCCAAAATTGTGTCTAGTGCGAAGCATGTAGACACTGGAGAACTGAAAATTGGATGAATACGTGATAAAGAGCAAAAAATTTATGTATCACTCCAAAGGTTTTTACTTAAGTTTTTTTTCTGTTGAACGAAAAGGCTAAGAAAATAAATATTTTTCATAGACTAATTTATATTATAACTTTCCCTTATACCATGAAAACATACATTTCAATATTTTCTCATATCTTTAATACTCGGGGATTATAACAAACTTAAGCTTCATATCTTAACATTATCTCAACAGGTGCGATATGGACAAAATATCTTCACAAATAAGAAACGCAGTAGCCTGGATGATAAGAGTAAGGCAGGCGCCTTGTCAAGCTACACACTTTCAAAACTTAACACCTTCATGGGTCAAAGACAGTTGACAGTTGTTATGGACAACAAAGTTTAAATTAAATAGTTAAGAATATACGAAAGTCATATATTTGAACTGCGGATAAAGACGTGAATGAAAGTGATCCTCGCAGTAATGTGCACTACTTAGGCAGTAGTGAAAATAAGGCCTGAAAAAAATTCAGGCCTGTACGGGATTTGAACCCATGACCTCTGCGATACCGGTGCAGCGCTCTACCAACTGAGCTAACAAGCCAACTGGGAGCTGGTCATGAAGTTGGTTCTAAATAAACCCGTGAAGTGATGAATAAATAGTTAAGAATATACGAAAGTCATATATTTGAACTGCGGATAAAGACGTGAATGAAAGTGATCCTCGCAGTAATGTGCACTACTTAGGCAGTAGTGAAAATAAGGCCTGAAAAAAATTCAGGCCTGTACGGGATTTGAACCCATGACCTCTGCGATACCGGTGCAGCGCTCTACCAACTGAGCTAACAAGCCAACTGGGAGCTGGTCATGAAGTTGGTTCTAAATAAACCCGTGAAGTGATGAATAAATAGTTAAGAATATACGAAAGTCATATATTTGAACTGCGGATAAAGACGTGAATGAAAGTGATCCTCGCAGTAATGTGCACTACTTAGGCAGTAGTGAAAATCCGCAGTTCAAATATATGACTTTCGTATATTCTTAACTATTTATTCATCACTTCACGGGTTTATTTAGAACCAACTTCATGACCAGCTCCCAGTTGGCTTGTTAGCTCAGTTGGTAGAGCGCTGTACCGGTATCGCAGAGGTCATGGGTTCAAATCCCGTACAGGCCTGAATTTTTTTCAGGCCTTATTTTCACTACTGCCTAAGTAGTGCACATTACTGCGAGGATCACTTTCATTCACAAAGTTTAAATTCTTGATGCTGAAGTACATTCTACTGCAAAACCAAAAACAAAAACGAAGAACATTGCCTCACCATTTGCAGAACACCACAACGAACTTTTCTTGCTTAAGAGGAAAAACCAATCGTACCAGTGGCACTAAAAAGGTAAACATAGCCAACAGTGTGAAGGAAAAAGCTGACTGCTACATAAGTGACCGTAATGGATCAATAAAAATGACAATGTGGGGGAATTTCAGGATGGCAAAAATATACACATTTCCAATGTCAGAGTTCTAAAAGAGTACAAGGCGGGAAGATTGATGTTGAGTACATTCCTCCCTGACTGTAACGTGTTAGAATCACCAGAATTTGCCCAACTTGTAGCCAAACCTCTTGAACTGCCAGATTATTTCACAACCACAGAGGCAAAGGTACACCGTAGACATTATTGGTGTTGCTCTGTTTGGAAAATACATCTGCTCTTTACAGTGCATCAGGAGAGTAGCTGGTGAATCTTGTGTTTCATCATCCTGAGGAGTCATGACGGCAGTCTTAGCCAGAAAAGGAACGAATTCAAAGGAAAGAGCAATGTCTAAGCAAAAGTGTCACAAGATGATAGTCAGTTTGTAATCATATTTTTCCGTGAAAAAACATTTAACATCCTATGCCATGAAATGTCACGAGACGAGGCAGTCATCACAGTAAGTCTGTTGGATTCTCCAAAATTAAATGTCACTTTTGAAAACAAATCTAAAACAGAATAAAAGGGTCCCTCTCCATGTTTAAGACATGTGATGACCTCATTAGACCTTGAGCAATGTTGGATGGGGGTTGCTTAAGATAGAGGATTTTAAATCGAAAATTACCATTTAAAAAAAACAATGGTGTTCTGTTAACATGCTAGTACACTGTACTGTTAAGGACTACAATTCTTGTCTTAGTCGTTGTGTCACTGTGTATCTTTTAAAAAAAAAATCTATAAAGGAATTGTCGTCCACTTGTATTGGGCGGTTCCTTAAAGCGGAACCACTCAAATAAAACTAAGAATAATCTATCAAGTCAAATTTTTTCCATTTTTATCTTCCGAAACCTGTGTTAGCACTTTGAGTTCAAATGTCCGCAATGCATATCAGATTCTCTTTCTCCTTTAATCTGTTAAGACAACTATTACGCCCGAACATCAAGCAAGACGTTTGCGGATCAATCTGTATTTAAAGGTCATGGGTGACCGCTGAATATAGGTGCGACTGCTCTCGTATGCATAAAACTTTCGAAAACTTATTTCCTTTGATTGTACAGCCACGGATATTTGACATCAATGTTTGCATCACTAGCACAACCTTGGAAAGTGTTGGTAGTTTGACCTGTTGAAGGATTAGCCCCATTCATCATCCAAAGAGTGGAATATGTAGCAGTTAGTTTGTTGAGATTTTTCTTTTCAATCTTTTTTTTTTGTCATACCAGTTTCGCTGTGAAATTGTTCCTATTTTAAATTTGGAACAATATTTTTAAAGTCGTTAGGTGTTTTGTCTGCCTATTTAGGCAAGAGAGAATGAGGCAAGAGAACATATCCCAATGACCAATGATGAGGTTTTTTTGCTGTAAAGGTATTTTCATTTCAAGCTCACACGACAGCTCTGCGAATGATCAGGATATCCGGCGTTCAGATTTTAAATTTTTAATATAAACATTCTTCCGATTCCGGATACCGAGCCGTATTGACCTACGGGTACACATCACATCAATCAACAAAAGGTTTGTGTTAATAAATTCATTTCAACAAATTATCTACCAATTTATTAAAGTAGTACACCCTAAAGCTAATCGAATTTAGAGGTTACACGGTACATAAAAGCTCGAAGTTGGAAATCTTTGTTTCGGCAGTTAGATCGTGCCGACCTTTTTATGAATTTTATTTACTTCCTTGCAACACAGCTGGATGTTTTGAATTGATAAAATTTATTCCTTCTTAGACGTACGGAACATCGTTCAAATACAAAGCCTTATAAATTTATCGCCAAACAGATCTGTAAACGAATAAAAAGCGCACCCATCTTTCGCTCAGACCGCCTAGCCATCGGTCAGTTTGTAGTTATTTATTCAATTTCTCTCTCAGCACAGAAGCTTAAGTTAATGTATTTTTTTGTGCTGATCTCTCGATTCCTTGGCTTTCAAAAGGGAGTATTCATAAATGATGTCGTAGCGAATCAAACAAACTTTGAGGGAACATTTTGAGTCGATGTCTTTTAACATTACGTGATTTTTCCACAAATTACATATTGCATTGTTCCATACACTCGAGACCGTCTACCAATCAAGTATTTTTGTAACTTTTAGTTAAAAAGCCCTCGCTTCCAGCCACTGCAAAATGTACCGTGAGCCGTTGAAATCACGCACCTGATTAGTACCAGCAGAGACATAAATGGGGTAAGGTCTGCCCATCGTTTCTCTTTAGGCAAGCACGGTGAACTATCCTTTCTTGTGGTTTTCAAATAGACATTGATAAGAGACATTATAGGAAAAGTTAAAAAAAATTGTTTGCAAATCTTTTTTTTTCTGAGGAATCGCCCTATGATGGTACTGATTACGACGTCTGCTTTGTTCCTTATCGTTACCATTCGTATCGCTCCTACTCAAGTTATAACACAGAAATTTTTGTAGGTGTTCCTTCATTTCCAGGTGTAATCAGGTAACCTAAGAACTAGGTTACCTGAGAACTCCTTTATTTGCCGTGCTTGAAAATGATGTAAATGACACTAACTCTCGCGATCATCGATCGGATGAGCTTTCATTCTCACTGATCTTATCTCAAATCTACCATTCAATATTGAGGATAGGTTTATTTAATGAAAATAAGTATTACATTCTATTATCAAAAAGCTTTATTTCAAAATTGTTCATTCCCAGTGTAATGTAAACAGCATATAGTATCAGA